TTACTTAAAGGCATGAAAAATTTGTGTGATAAAAATGGTTCAAGGATTCCTGTAAAAAAAATAGTAAGTTTAGCATTTAAATTTTCTTTTGGATTTCAATCGAAACACATTTCGAATGTATATTGGCCATGATAGGATGATTCGAAACGAATAAATTTACAAACCGAATGCTTTCGTTCCTCCACCGATTGCAATCCAAGACATGGCGAAAGCCCATAATAACCTGTGGGAAGAAGCATATAAAGCATTTTCAAATGCATCATATTTTCTTCCTGGAATATAAAATAACCAAGCACCACAAATTGCAGATAAAGCACATATGAGAGCTATCACACTATACATCCAAATTTCTTTCTGTAATTTTTTTTTTTTTTTAAATTTAAATTAAATGATAATAATAATAATAAATAATTATTCGAGAGAAGGGTAAAACTCACTAGTGAAAATTTATAATTGATTTTTTTTATTTTTAAATAAACGAAAGCAGCCATCATTCCTGACAAATATGGCGTAGCTCTATGATGAGTTTTTATGTAAACTTCATTGAAAGTAAAACTCGATGTTAAATCTTCAAGTGTGCTAAAAAGAGAAAAGAATGCAAAAATTTTCATTTAATTCAAATGAATGAACAATCGAAAAATTTTATTCGTACCTGAGGTAAAGTCTGAGAACTCCATCATATTTATTATAAAAAATAATTGTAAAATTTAATAAAAATGAAATTGTTATGAATAAAATTAAATAAATGAATCCTTTTTTTTTAGAATTGATAACTATTTTAACAACGAATGGTGCTATCAATGTTAGATGCATGTCGCAAGCAACGTACCAAGATTGAAACATGCACTGAAAAAAAAAAAAAAATTCAAATAATTATAATATTAAAATAAGTTTCCCCCCTCCCCCAACGATCAGAATTACGTATACTAACTAACGAATCCGTATAGAGGTAATTATTGAGAAAAAAAAAATTTATCCACCAATTTTTCCGACATCTTTCTGCTTCTTTTCCAATTTTGATTTTCCAAAAAGGACCAGAACCCACGTGTTCAAAAACGTGAGCATAAAAAAATATCATGAGTAAGTAAACGGGTACTATTCTAAAATAAAAAAAAAATTTTCTTTTTATTCCGTAGGAAATACTAATGGATAAATATCATTTAAATAAAATAATGACCTACCTCAACCACCTGTGGAAATAAACGGTGAAAATATTAAAATTTTTTTGATTTTTTTTTTTTTTTTTACGACAAGAGGAAAACAAAACGAGAAAAGTCAAATATCCGCTGATAAAAAAAAAGTATCCACTATTAACGTGCCGTTTAAAAGAAATATATTTTGAAATTTTTTATACCTCTGTAAAAAGAAAAAAATTAAACGGTAAATGCCTCCCCTCCCCTCCCCCCCCCAAAAAAAAATAAATAAATTTTTTACGTCTTCTATAAATTTAGGATTGAAAAAAGGTCCACCGCAGTTGCCATACATCTGTGACCCATTATACTATATCATCGTAAAATTTCAACGTCGAATATATCGTCATTCATATATATATATATATATATATATATATATATATATATATCTCATGGTTGATATTTGCACGTGGCGACATCGATAACGCCATCATTAACCCATTATTACTATTTTTTGGGGGGGGGGTGGAAAAAACAATTAAAATTTTATCAAAATAATTCATAAGTTAAGTATTAATCATCATCTTACCGTTTTTATTAATCATTTCCGAATAAAAAGTTGAAAAAATAACGAGAGAAACAATACCGGAAATAAATAATCTATAAAAAAAAAAAAAATAAATAAATGAAAATAAATCTCCGGCCCCGCCCCCCGCCCCCTCGCACTTCCGGTTAATTATAAATACGTTACATGAAAAATTTTCCCTCCGTCGTTATCGTCCTCGTCATCGTGGATTCCATTTTATTATCAAAAAAAAATTTATCGGATATTTTAACGTCCGTACCTTGAAATAATTTATTCGTTAAGGTTCGAACATCATCAGGTTTGCAAGAATCCGGTAAACAAATCCCCGTATAATAATTATTTATATTTTTTTTTCCATGATCATTTTTTTCCTGAAATTAATAATAATAATAATAATAAATTACATCACATCAAAAGAAATAATAATAATAATAGTAATAAATTACCTTAAACGTATCCAATATGGAGTCGTCGTCGTCGTAGTTGGACGAATTTTCATAATAATAATAATTATCGATATAATCGATTTGTAAATTAATTAAAAAAAATTTTCCTTTTATTTTATTATCAATTGATTTAACATTAACGCATTGATCGTAATTACCAAATTGATATTTATTACCGTGTGTTAAACCATTTGGAAATTTAACGAACGAATCGTACACTTGAAACAAATAATAATAATAATAATTATTATCACGTAAAAAATTTAAAGTAAATAAAATAAATGTCACTTACTTTCCAAAGCCCAAGGTGATAAATTATTAATATTTTTTATTAATATAAATAAATGATTTTTACAATTATTATTTTTTATATAATTTAAATCATCCCACCACTCATCATTTTGTCCATAATTCCAGCGAGGATCATGGAAAAAACATTTTCCATAATTTTTTCCATCTTCAATTAAACTCTCATTATGTTTTTTATTTATTTCACATGTCGAATAACATTCGATTATTGTAAAAAAAAATGTTATTGTTATTATTATTATTAATAACGTTTTGTAAATTATCATTATTAATTTAAATTAACAACAATAAATTTTTTTTGTCATCGTTATAATATACGAATTTTTTTTATCACAAAAAACTGGAAAATCACTTTTTACATTAATTAATAATAATAATTTCTCTTAAAATTAACAAAAAATTATCATTATTATTATTTTTCTTTTTTTTATTCATGCCAAAATGTTAGAAAAAAAAAAAAAAAAAAAAAGATGACTCCATTATTATTATTATTTCCAAATGAAAACGATTGCAAATTTTTAGTTATGACAAAAAAAATTATTTTTAGTCAGCAAATTTTTTTTAAAAATCAACTTAATTTTCATCATCATTATTATTATCATTATTATTATCATTATTATTATTATTATTATTATTATTATTATTACTATTTTATTTATTGATTGATTGATTTTTAATTAAATATTAAATCGTGTATTTAATATTAAATTTTTTTTTATTTATTTTCATAAACATTTACATTAAAAAAAAAAAAAAAATTCTTTCCAGGATTGTCCAAAATTCTCCAAAATTAGTCACCGGGAAAAAAAAAATCTGACGTCATTTTGAACGTTAGTGAACGTAAATTTTAATTTTTCTTAATTTTTTCCGATTTTTCCTGTTGAGATTCCGCCCCCCATAAAACAAAAAAAAAAAAACAAAATATTAGAAATGTCGTCATATTTTAATTATCATCATCATCATCATCATTATTATTATTATTTAAATGAGTAGGCATTACCTTTGATAATAAATACTGGAAAATATTTGAAAAGGGTTTGTGTATTATATTATAAAAAACAAATGCAAATATATACGATGCTGTTAAATCCGACGCGCTCATCCATATCTGAAAAACCATAATAATAATAATAATAATTAAGTTTTACGTTGATTTGACGTCATCATTTTCAAAAAAATTATTCGACTTACTAATTTCGGTACTGAAAAATATTCCAACGTTCTTATCGTTGCCGATGTGTAGGATTGTACGAATCCCAATATCAATACGTAGGGATACGTGAAATTTGAATAAAATTTCAAATAACTCAAATCGAAAAAATTCGATAAAAATGCTGAGGGAAAAAAAAAATTATTATTATTATTATCATCATCATCCACCCTCACCCCCCCCCCCCGTCTCTCTCTCTCTCTCTCTTTTTTTGGGTGCGTATGGATTCATCGAACTCTAACGTAATATAATTTTACAACGCGACAACCTTTTTCTCTCTCTCTCCCCCTCGAAAGGTTCTAACAATTATTATTATTATTATTATTATTTTGGGTAATCGAATATTTAATTAATAGGAAAAACTAATTCGATAACTATTTTAAAAATAGTTACAACAATAATAATAATAATAATAATAATAAAAAAGGGAAAACGTTCGCGAAATAGAGTTTTTTTTTTTATTTTATTGTTTTCTAGGTCATTAACCTTATTACGGGGTAATGACCATAAATTATTATTAGGTGAAAAAAAATAGAAAGAGGGTAAAGTCACGGAACGAGGAAGGGGGAGGAGAAAAGAAGAGAAAGGGGGCGGAGAGAACGCGAAATTACGCATTCCATTCATAACTACGGTTTGTAGCGAATGACCTTCCGTACGCGGAGAAAGAGAGAGAGAAGGAGGAGGGGGAGGGAGGGGAGAGAGAGAGAGAGAGAGAAAGGGATGGGATGGGTCAACGATTGTTGTTTACGTTCGACGCCATCATGAATTTTTTTATTTAATTGAAATTTTTCCTCATAGATGTCGTCAAAACTTTAATTTCAATTAATTTTTTTTTAATGGCGGGATAAATACGAATCTTAAATGATTAGTATAAGTGATAAAAATCCTTTTTTTTTTTTTTTTTTTTTTTTGTAATTTTGGCATTTTTGCAACAACTGATACTGTTATATCAAATAATAATTATTATTATTATTTTCTTGTGTATTTTTAAACGAAAACATTTGATAACGATCAAAATATAATTATTTTTATTTTTACGTAAACTTTTTTTAAAATTAAGATGACCACGATGATGATGATGATGATGATGATGGAGATGATGATGAAAATTTAAAGAAAAAAATTACTCTCTACCTTTACATTGTTTAAAACTTAATCGGATATAAGATAAAATAATAATAATAATAATAATAATAAAATGTTGTAAAACGTATGTTTAACTTACACGAATCTCTACTCGACCCATTTAATATAATCCAAGAAATGAAAAAACTCCATAATAATGGTAATAATTTTTTCATGTAAAAACTCGTGAAAAAATCACGTACGAAAAATTGTAATAAAAATATCAATAATATCATTATGGGAAAAAATAAATTGACGCAATGCTGAAACGATAATAATAATAATAATAATAATATTTATATCAATTGAACATAAGAATTGAATTTTTTTTGTAAAACTTACCCTAAAATAATTGAAATTTTTATTTTTAATATCGTAAAAAATTACCCCAGAACCAAATCCGATGAAACAGGGTAATATATAATTGGAATCTTTATAATTTAATATCCATAAGAAGTAACTGGAAAAAAACAAAAACAAAAACAATTAATTACATTTGTTTGGGGGGCTTATGGGGGGGGAAAAGAGAAATTTAAATTTAAAATTTAAAATAGAAAAAATACCTGTGAATTTTTTTTATCAAATCGAATTCCGTTAAAAAATAATTTTCGTAAATTGGTAAATTTAAAAAAAAACTACCACCTATAATCAACCCTAATGAAATTAAAAAATTTTTCGACGTTTGTCCACCCAATGATAATAGGAAATAAAATAATAATGATATTAAAAGAAAATTTTGTGACACGATCGGAAAAAACCACGATTCGAATATGCACTGAAAATGAGTAAGAAAATTTAAATCTTTCATCTGACATTATTGATAATAATGATAATGAAAAACTAACCGTGGAAAGAGTTTTTTTATAATTTTCAAATGAAAATAAATTAATAAAAAAATGGTTGATGAAATTTTTTTTACATTCTCCAACGGATTTTTTTATTTGTTCGTTCCAAATCGGTCCATCACCCAAATCGTAAAATGCGTAACCGTAAAATAAAATGGCGGTTATTTGCAGTGGAATAATTCTGAAAATAAATAAAATAAATCCAATTTTAATTAATCGAACGATGATAACAACAACAACCGAAATTTTTTTTTTTTTTTAAAAAGTTTCCATACAAACAACTCACTTGAAAAATTTAACGAAAATAAAACGGAAATAATTAAATAATGAAAATTTTATTTTATTATTAAATTTTTCATTTAATTTATATGAATGTAAAAAAGATGACGTCACGGAAAACGTCACGATTAATAAATCGTTAATTATTTCAACGTAATTTTCATTCGCGTAATCATCAAAAACCTGAAAAAAAAATTAATTAATTAATTTATTTATTTATTTGTGTGACGTATACGAGTTTTCACTCATTTATTTATTTAAAATTTACCTCGTTGAAATTATTTCTATTTATTATTGGTATTTTATAAAAAAATTTTAATCTTCTTAAAATGGTTAAGGATATTATTGCGTAAACTTTAATACCGTCTAAAACGTGTAGTCTATTTTTTTTCGTCGCCATTATTATCGATTTGTAATTTCTATATGCGGAAAATGATTTTATCATCATCATCATACAATTCTCTTCGACTGTGTGTGAATTGAAATAAAAAATTAATAAAATAATAAATAAATAAATAAATAAATAAATAAAATTTACTCACGTTTATAATT